ATGTACCAATAAACTCAATAAAAAAAAAAAAAAAAAACATATGCTAAGACACAAAAGGGCACATATTGCATGATTCTTTTTATATATAAAATGTCTAGAATATGCCATCCATGGAGATGCAAGGTAGATTAGTGATTGCCAGGGGAGAGGATGGAGACTGATTACTAAGGGGTATGTTTTGTCTTGTGTCCTCCTAAAGCCCATACACTCATCCGTGAGGCTTTTCTGAGCTGGCTGGATATAGGCTGGTGTGATACTGGGATTACGGATGTGTAGTACTAATTAGTCCACCCCCGGCTGGAATTAGCATAGCTCTGGGTGTGGATGGCACCAATCAAAAGGTCTGTAGCCTGTTTGGGATAAAAGGGAGAGAGAGGCAGGCTCCCTTCTACTGCTGCTTGCTGCTGCCTTCTGCCTGCCCTCCCATGCCATGAGCTGCTTTTCCTCTGCAGTGCCGCTCTGCATTCTACCCAGTCTTGGAGCCAGCTGACTATGGCCTGAAACCTCTACAAACCATGAGATGAAATGAGCCCTTCCTCTTTTGACTTTGGGTGCTGGGTACTTTGCCCTAGCAACCAGAGAAAAGTAACTAAGACAAGATATATACAATGTTCTGAAACTATATAGTGTCTGTGTGATGCTATACAAACTATGACTATACCACTGACCACTGAACTGTACACTTGAAAACGCTGAATCTTAGGGTAAGGAAGTTATATCTAGTAAAACTGTTATAAAAATATAAGAAAGCTAGGGCTGGGAATTTAGCTCAATGGCACCACACCTGCCTTGCAAGTGCAAGGTCATGAGTTCACTCCCCAGTAAAAAAAAAAAAAAAATAATTAAGAAAAAAAAATATATATACATATGAAAGCTAAAACTTACAAAAGGTGTCATGCATGGTGGTACACACCTATAATCCTAGCATTTGAGAGGCTGAGGCAGGAAAGATCACTGTAAGTTCAAGGCCAGCCTGGGCTACACAGTGAATGTAAGGCCAGCCTGTCTCAAAAATAAAGAAATTAATTAATTAATTTTACAAGTGGTAACATGGACACTGGAATCAGAATTGGATTTACCAATTCTTTTTGGGGTTTTTTTTTTTTTTTTTTTTTTTTTGAGACAGGGTCTCACTATGTAGTTGAGACTGACCTGGAACTCACTATGTAGTCCAGGCTGATCTTGAACTCACAGCAATCCTCCTGCCTCAGCCTCCCAAGTGCTAGGATTACAAGCGTGCACCGCCATGCCCAGCTCTGGATTTACCAATTCTCAGGTCATCTTAAATTGCAACTCTTGTCGCCTATCTGAAGCTCACCACAGGCTGAGATTCTTGAAAACTGGGACATATCTTGTTCATCCTCATTTCTCCAGTATCCATCCCAGGTTCTACGGCATGGAAAGCCCTCAAAATGAAGGGAATACATCAAATCTAAGCTCTGCCATAACATAGCTGTGTGATCTCCAGCACAGTTCTCCACTCTGGGCCATATTTGTAAAACAGGTGATACCATTCTCGAAAGGGTACTGGGAGATGGTTACATGAAGCTCCTAACCCACAGAATATGCTCAGTAAGTGAATTCTTTTCCCCTTCACAAGGCACTAACAATGTCACTTCACAAAACCGAGGGCTGTTCTCTGCTCCAGACCCACAACTTTTTCTCCTATCTTGCCTGTGACTCTAGAAGCATGTTGAGTGGGGGGTTCTCAAGGGCTCCTGAGCACAAATGGAGAAGAATGGTGATCTTGCCAGGTAACAGGCTGGTACAAGCCTGGTGCAAAAGCAGAGTAGGGAGGGTTATGACTACACACACACTTACTTTGATGGTCCTGTCTCCAGAGGCAGACACGATGTACTTATCGTCAAAGTCTACTACATTGACAGCAGCACGGTGGCCAACCAGGACTCGGCGTAGCGTGATATCAGTGGCAGAAGCCATATCCCACACAGCGATGGAGCGGTCCTTGGAACAAGTCACCATCAGTCCATTGCTGAAGCGTAAGTGCAGCACAGCCTCATTGTGATGGATCAAGGTGTTAAGAACTTCACCTGTGTTCACATCCCAGACTCTAGAGGACAGAAGTGCATGACATTTAATCATAGGGACAGCCAGGGAAAGACTCAGATGCCTGAGCTCTTGATCTAGTCTTAGCATGCTTAAGTAAATGCTTAATGTTCCTGGTATATGCTAAAAGAGGGACTCCAGTTGCACTTTACTTGCTGAGAAGCTTTCAGAAAAGGCAGCTAATTCAGGTTCTGCTCAGGTTTCTTTGGTGTTCATATATGCAGGCTTGTGCTGATGGCAAAAACGATTCCTCAATAGAGCAGACTATCAGTGAATCTGAGATACCAGGAGAAAGAAGGGCTGACTGCTGAGGGATTGAGGATGATCTTAAATTTAAGACTCCTGCTGACCTTTGGCAGGCCACTGAGTCTACTATTTAGTTCCTGCAAACCAGACATTACACTCATTACATCCCTCAATTGTGTTATGGACAAAGCTAGGCTCTCCCAATGGCTTCACAGTTGAGATATGGGGTTATTAGAGGCAACCATTCCAGAGAAGTCAGAGCTTTCCTATAGCCCAACCTCTCTATAAAGACAAGTTCATACAGAGCAGAAGAGAAAACTCTTACATCTGTAAGGCTGAGAAGTGATCTGTGAGAGAATCTAACAGCTTGGAGGCACTGAGTCAGGGAAAAGATAGTAGGTGAGCCATGGGCATGGCTGGAGAAAAAGCACAGGGGTATGCTAAGACTAGTAACCAAAACTAACTTAAAGAGAGGAATGAAAAGGGGAGAAACATGAGAACTCCAGGGCAAACTGAGCTGCTACTATTCCAATGCCCTGGGTGTGCCTGTAAAATAACTCTTTCCAAGTATCCAAGCCAGCACAGAAGGGGCACTTCTTCTGTTCCACATGCCTTCCCAGCTACCGGCAGTCTAGCTGAGGCTTCACTGCATGACCCATGCTCTGCTGGACTCACCACTACCCTGTTTCAAAGCCCATTGGGATGGGGAGACATGCTGGCCCCAGGGATGTAAAGATGGTATCAATTCTACCTTCTCAACTCTCAACTAGCAATCATTGTTTCCCTTCCACTGTGGAACAATACCATTTTCAAATTTGTCATTCTGCTTCAGGGGTGGGGGTAGGGTTCTGGAAAAGGTACTAACAGAGCCTCGACTGATAAAAATTCAAGGTTCAAAATATATTGTATGATTCTGAATATACTGTCTGAAAATGAATTCTCTGATCTTAGTTTTTTAATATGTCTGTAAAAACAAAGGCAGCATCTACCTACATGCAAAAACCGATGTAAGAATTTAACATTACAGAAAACATCTAGCATACTCTGGATCTCTCTTTTCTGTGTCCCTCAGAAGTATTAGCAAACTGTCTGATTCTTTTAATCTGTAGCTTAGCACCCACCACACTCCTAGAACAGCTGCCTTCTTTCTCCCTGCTCTGGACCACAGGCTCCCAACAGAAGAAAGCAAGCCTAACACCAGGCAGTGTGTTTTTCTAGAAAAGCATGCTGTCATCTCTATAACTTTTGGCAGGAGAAATAGGACACACTTAAAAATTAGCTTGTCTGCCTACACTGCTCAAATGCATCTACATCAAAAATGGTTTTGAAATATAGCAAGTAACAACATTTACAAAGTACATGTGTGCTGATCCCAGAAGACAGCATGCATCTCAGCCTTCCAGGAAAGGATTATAAGGTTAGACCAGTGAAGCCAGATCACTCACCTTACTGTAGAATCTGAAGAGCCAGTTACAATGACACGTTCATCGTACTGGAGACAGAGGACAGAGCCTGTGTGCCCTGTTAACACTTTCAAACACTCCAGGCTAGTTTTATCCCAGATCTATTGAGACAAGATCAACAACAGAGCTTTAATATATCACATTTTTATCATCACCTCTTGTACTTTGAATCATAAAACATGCCTTATTAGAGTAAGAACAATACAATATTTAAAAGGTGGGAAATGAAAAGGAATAGGAGATACTATGGATTAACTTCCAAAACAGATGTGCTATTTTGTTTAATTTGTACTCTAAGCTATTGTACTCATTATACTTATCAAGAGCCTTACAAAGGAAATTTTAAAATAAAATATGTAGTAAGTCAGCTCCACCTTTGAAAGTCAAAATAACATCTATTAAGATCCTTTAAAAATGTACACTGCCATGGGGCTGTAATCCCTCCGTACTCTCAGAGGCTGAGGCAGGAGGACTGTAAGTTCAAGCCCAGTCTGAGCAACTTAACTGAATTAGCAAGAACCCACTCAAAATAAAAAATTTTAAAAAGGGATGAGGACGTTTATTAGTGCAAAGGCCCTGGGTTCAATCCTCAGCAAGGGGCGGGGGGGACATTCAACGTTTCAGAAAAATCCCAAGATAAACTATTAAGAGCTCTAAATGAGAAAATACAGTGTTTTATTACAGAGTTAAACATCAAAGAATCATAATAAAAATTGTCTATTTAGTGACAGTTATATTTTTAAAAGATTAAAAGGAAGTAAAATGTAATGGTTGTTTTTATGCTGAGTGCTCTTTTTCTACCTTCTTTTACTGTCTCTATAGTTGTCTTTTCTAGAATGTTATATTGGAAACTACATTATGTTGCCTTTTCAGATTGGCTGCTGCCTTAATTTAGAAATATGCATTTAAGGTTTTTCCGTGCCTTTCATGGCTCACTAATCTAATTTCCTGTTAGTGATAAGAATCATTCCATTATCTAGAATACATATAATGTGTGTACACATGTTACATATACATATATGCATGAATACACACACGCGTGCATGCACACACACCCCATTCTCTCTCATCTATTCAGGGCACTTTGGTTGTTGCCAAATTTGGCAATTATGAATAAAGCTGATGTAATGTGCAGGTTTTGAGCAGACATACATTTTTGACTCCTCTGAGTAATACTAAGCAGTGCAACTGCTGGGTCATATGGCAAGAGTACGTTTAGTTATATATGAACTGCCAAACTGCCTTCCAAAGTAGCTGTACCATTTTGTATTTCTATGAGCAATAAATGAAGAGTTCCTGTTGCTCCACGTCCTTGCCAGCATTTGGTGTTGTCAGTGTTCTGGATTTTAGCCATACTAATAGATATGTAGTGCTATCTCATTGTTGTTTTAATTTGCATTTTCCTGGTGCCATATGGTGCGGAGCATCTTTACACATGCTGAGTTGCCATCTGTGTATCTTCTCTAGTGAGGTATCTATTAAGGCCTTTGCCCATTTTTCATGTAGTTGTTTATTTTCTTATTGTTGAGTTTTAAAGGTTTTTAGAAATGTCTTTTACAAATATTTTTCCAATCTACAACTTATTTTCTTATGCTCTTGATGGAGTATCTCACAGAGCAGAAATTTTTAATTTTAGTGAATTCTAGGTTATTAATTCTTTCTTTCATTGTGCTTTTGGTGGTACACCTAAAATGTCACCATCAAAACCAAGGTCTTCTCACTATATAAGTGGGCAGTCTACTCACAGGTTTTATTCAAGTGAACTGAAAACAAGGTTCTCACAAAAACCTACATGCATGGATTTACAATGGCTTTAGTCACAGTTGTAAGAAATCATAAACAATTCCAATGTCCTTAAAGTACTAAATGGATAAGCACACTGTTGTATACCCAATAAAATAAAGTACTATTCTATTCAACAATAAAAAGGAATGAACAACATAGATGTATCTCCAATACACTATACTAAAGAAGCCAGACTCAAAAGGTTACACATTACTATAGATAGATAGATAGATAGATAGATATATATATAGATAGATAGATAGATAGATAGATGAAAAAAAAAGATCATTGGTTTCCATGGTGTGGGGAGAGGTGGGTGGGAAGAGGTGATTATAAAAGGACAAGACAAGGGGATTTGACTGGACAAGAGAACTCGAGTGTATCTTGCTATTACAGCTGTACACCTCTATGTGTCTGCTTTACATCAAACACCAAACTTTCTTATATGTAACTCAAAAAAACCTACTTAAAAAAATCCTCAATGTTTTCTTAAACATGAGGAAATAAGCTGCAAACAATGTAAAACAAACTGTCAGCTCAGCCAGAAAACAGATAAAACAAGGAAAAATAATGCAGCATATCAACTGTTTAAAATGAAAACAGGGGGCCAGGGATTTAGCTCAGTGGTTTTGCCACCTGCCTCTTAAGCACAAGGACCCAAGTTCAATTCCCAGTACCCAAAAGAGAAAAAGGAAAAACAGAGATAAAAATTGAAAACAATTTGTCACTTTTCATATTATCATCTGAGCCCTTCTCAAAAACCGTAAGAAGTAAGGACTTTGACTTACAGGAAAACTAGTAATATTCTCACTAGTAAGCAAGTAATCAAGAGGCTGGGATACTCAGACAGTTTCTACTTACACCTAAATAGAAACTATACAATGTGAGTGTACTTAGAGGAGGGTAAGAAGTGAGACAAGCCAGGGCCTTTACTAGTTACAGGGAAATGCTCTGGCTCTAGTTTTTCAGAACCACCTTGGGAGCTGCCATAGTTGAGTGGAACAGATAAAAACCAATCTGCAGTAAATGGAAAGATTGTCACATCTAGTGCCTGGCACATAACCATGATTCTAAAAATAATACATACAAAATGTAGTCATTCACCTTAATAGAATTATCTCGCAAGCCACTGATAATTTTTTCATCATCGTACTGTAAACAGTAGACACCTTTACTATTTTCAGAGCGGCACTGAATCCTCTGCAAGTTGTGTCGTCCACACCGCCAGTTAGATTCTATAGTCTGGGGGAAAAGGGAGATGAGATGAGTTTTTATGAATCAACTATTTTCTACTAGGTTTTAGAATTTGGGGTCATTTCCAGAAGCAGCATGCCACTGATATCCTGATCTTGGTTTGCATAACTGTCTGTGGAAAGGAATCATGCTCTTTTCCAAGTAAGACATTAGCCCAACAGTGTTTTTTCTCAAACTTTCCCTGCCCATCTGGCAACTATCACAGGATTTCCAATGAGTTTTCGGTTAGGTCTGAAATGGCCTAGACAGAATTCAATATGTTTAAAGAATGTCATTTGTACCCAAAACATACAAATAAATAATAACTCATTGGGTCACTTACCAATGCCAATTAAAATATTTGGCAAAAGTCTGTAGACACCATTAAGCATATACTCAAAATTTATGTATCCAACCAAGCATCCAATCAATGAAAAAGGATACTGTAACTAGTACTGTATGAGCCAACTACATAAAAAATTTTGTTAGCATTTTTAATCTCCCACCAGAATGGCACATTTCATCCCTGGATTCTCACTTTCCTCACTTATGCAACATTTACTGAAATGTTAGTATATTCCAAGTTCTATGCTAGGTATTAAGGACTTAAAAAAAAAAAAAAAAAAGAAAAGAAAAAAAGAAGCAGAAAACATCCTACATCCAAAGGAGACATTTCTCTGGTTTCTAGGCACAGTATCTGGAACTGGAGCCCAGATGGTCCCTGACTTACAATGGTTCAACTTACAATTTTTTAGCTTCCTAGTGCAAAAGCAGTACACATTCGGCAGAAATCGTGCTTTCTTTTCCCTGGCTCACCATCTGCAATGCTGGGCAGCAGCAGTGAACCACAGCTCCCAGTCAGCCAATCACAAAGAGAAACAGCTGAAACTGCAGTGCACTGCATTGCTAAGTTGTTGGTAAAGTTTGGTGACTTCAACCCATTTTCAACTTAGGATATTTTCAAAAAACAATGTAATCCCATCATAAATCAAGGAGCATCTGAACTTCTAACTAAATTTATTTGGCCAGAAGAGCAACACAATATATTTGGAAGGAAAGTTTCATTATTTCCCTTTAATAAACAAGGACAGAGTCTAACTTGCCTAAGACCACAAAACTAATAATTGGACTGGCTGGAAATCACATCCAGTTTTTTCTAATTCAGTGCATGCTTTTGCCATGGTCCCACATCTTGAGGCAGTGAGCAAAGAACAAAAGATCTAGAACAATTCAGATAAAATATCAGTGCCAAATGAGTGGTAAAACCTCTACGTGCTGCAAGAGGGAGATCAAGAGAGTCTAGCCTGAGACCATCGGGCCAAGTTTAATGCGGATATAAGTTACATCCAGAGCACTAGAAGACCAAGCCTTGGGTAGTGGATATGAGAGATTCTTTAGAACTCAAAGATACAATGTTTGTCCTAAATTCAAGCAGTCTGAATTCCTGGCTTTTGAAACTAGGGGATAATAAGGGACTACAATAATTGGTTACACTCAGTTTACACTCAGGATATAGTTTGAAAGTTTATCACTGAGTAGCTAAAAGCTCATATTTAACTCACAATAAGCACCTAATTACTAGCTCTGTTGACATCAACAAATTATATTTACTCATTTTGAAGGCAATATGCTACTGTATTCTGCAAAACTTACTGATACTACTTATTATTGTTTAGAGAAATAATATATTTCAGATAGTAATTCTGCCATATCGGCATGCTAAGCATTCCAGGAAAACGCTGATTTAGGAGGAAAGATACACCGGTAACAAGACTGTTTCCTGGCTGTGACTCTGGGCACAGTTACTCATGTTCAGGTGACACCTTTTATAAGCTACCAGAGTTGATACACAACTGTATGACTCTACATGAACCCAAAGTATTACAAAGATGAGTATATAACCTGTCTTACATATATTAGGTGTTGTTTTTAAATTCATATAACTTCCTTTTGGTTTAAAACATACATAATTGCTTTAAAATGCTATTGAATTAGTAAGTAGTTTTCTTAATATATACTCCTTCAATGAGTAGAAAAAGCATGTCAATTCTCATATATGAGTTTGAATTTTTTTTTCATTTGAAAAGAAGAATAGGGGAAATTTCCTATGTTCTCCCACTTCTATTTTCTACAGATGGTCACGATCTTTTACTGCACCTAAAGCCCCAAAGACATTGAGAGGTCTAAAGAGGGGAGCCAGGATAAGGCCATACTTTCAGCTTGTGATACATTAGTCCCTGAGATATCACACAGACATCATACGGATGTCGGCACAGAGAATATCTCCTGACAGCAAAGGGGGTATTGTGCCATCTACTTCCAACCCTCAAACAAGAGCCAAGAGGAGAGGACTTTGTAAAAGCTCCACTAGATATCCCACTTTGAGTCTAAGTTAAATGGAAGTCAAGAAATGAATTTGCTTCTCAATGCTTATAGGAAACCTAATTTTCTAAATTTACCTCTGAATTAAAAAGAAAAGTTTGCAAATAATTCTTATTGGATTAGGAAGGGCAATTTTAAAAAATCATCAGGGGTATAGCACTTGCTTAGCAGGCACAATGCCCTGGGTTGACTTTCCAGGACTATAATTTAAAAATAAAAACATTTTTTTAAAAATATCATTAGGTTCCTGAATACTAAGGCAAGTATACGTTGTTGGAAACAGATCAGGGAGTCCCGGCTATCTGCACAGCCACCCAGACATTCCAGAGACTGTGCTCTCAATTCCCAAGGCCACCCACACAAGAAAGCAGCACTTCCTGCTGACTGTGCCTGCCCAAAACACTACCACCATGTGTGACGACCTCAACCCTTCTTGAATGCTTCTCAGCCAGGTCTTTTTTAGAAAAAACAGATCTTTAAGCCTGGAAGGAAGCCCTTAGTGGCAGAAAATACCCAGGTCAAGTAGCAGTCTTGGCAAGTCACTCAGACTATCTGAGCAGCAGTTTCCTCCTCTGTAAAAATGGGAATAGTAACATCTACACCCTAAAACTACTGTAAAGATCAAGTAAGGTTACCTATATGAAGTGCTCATCATAGTGTCCATGAGAATACTGACAAAAACAGTGGGCTGTGACCAAAAAATCCAAACAAACAAACAAACCAACAACAACAACAACCACCAAAAAAAACCCAACCACTAAAAACAACCACCGCCGCCAAGAGCCTCATTAAATTGCCAGGAATTATTGTCTAGGTGGGCATTTCATGCTGATCATCTGAGCAACCTGAAGAGTCCCAGGAAAGTGTTCAGCCTTCAAATGAAATTCAACTATTATATTAATGTGAACATCAGGAACACAAGTCACATACAGGTGCACTTCTTTAATTATGTGGGTACCTGCCATTTCACTCAGCCATCATGTGGTATAGCTACTGTTGAGGAATATTTCATGTTTTTGAGAACTTGTAAAATCCCCTTACCCTGTGCAAATTTTCAAAATACTGGGAAAGTAGCCATGATACACAGAGTATACAGCAGCATTTAAATTGGCAATAGAGTGAAAACAGATGTCTGAGTATGGAGGAATAACATTATTTTTAGAAGCCTAAACACAACTGGGTGGGTGGGCAAGTTTCAGCATTTTCTGTTCAGGACAATGTTAATATCAAGTTTTCAAACCACAAAAAAGCTCCCTACTTTCCCTGAATATAATGTGGTTTATTAAAAGGTGTGATACAATACACCATCGTTTTCCCAATGGTCCGTTCCAAGGAGAATGCTTCAAAGCCTTTATTCCAGGGAGGAGAGGGAGGAAAAGCAGTGTACATAAAAGAGTTTGTCACTGCACTGAAATGGCAAAAGAGAAAAATCCAATTCAGCACATCAGTCTGTTATAACAGTGCTCACCTCTGAAGTTGTAAATGGGCAACTAGGGAGGGGTGAGGGGCATCAACAACTACTTGACATTCCGGGTGTCAGTTATCTTTTGGCAATGTACTTAAAAAGCTTTAAAGCAGCACCTTTCCTATAACTGGACTAAAACAAGGCCAACTAATCTTATCTTAACTCATAGCCTCTTTTCAACTAACAGTCAAGGTCACTGAGTATTCCAACACTTGGAGGGAGATTAGAAGACCAAGCTGAAATTTTGTAGACATAAAACAACATGTCTTTTTCTTCTTCACTTCTTGAATTTTCCACTTTGAAAATAATAAAGAAGTGTAAGCCTAAAGCTACACAGACCTCAGTTAAAATCTCATCTCATCCATTCAAATAGGTAGGGAGTTCTACACCTTTAATCTGTTTCCTTTTATACCAATAGGGACAATATGTACACTGCCATAAAACTTAAATGCAATAATCTATGCAAATCACCCAACATAGTTCCTGGTATATCACAGGGCTCAAAATAGGGTGTTTGTTATTATTATACTCGATGTGTGAGAGTTTCATACCAGCCATATGGGCAGAGCAAAGTTCGTGACAATTTCTCATTTATTTGATCCATGGATCACTGAAAAAACTTGCTACATGTATGTATGTCCTGGACAGATAAAGCATATTCCCACAGTGGAGGCAAAGAATTCTTTTGGGGTGCTGCCAGGGATCTATAAGAAACTTACATATAAGAGTATCAGGTTAATACCAGACTTCATTCCTCACTAGATCTGTTTTTCAGGGCAAGCCATTTAACCTTTCTGAGTCTATGTTTCAATTTTAAATGAGAACTTGACCTACTTTTCAGGTTTCAGCCAGAATGTTCATTGAGAAAATGTACTATAAAATGCTAAACAAAGTATCTGGCACAAGTAAATGCTCTATTAGTGGTACATTATTTTTGTCGCTATTACTATTAGTGAATATACTGAAGTATAAACATCATTTCTTATACTAAGAAATTTAGCCCACAAAAATCTGGAGGAAACACTTGTGGCCAACCAGTGGGTTTTCCTAAACCACACTTTAAGAACCACTAGGAAGACCACCATGATGCAGAAGTTTTGTATCAAATAGGGTTTTCCCCCCATGGCTCTGTTTTCCCTCACATCTGCCTCCTCCACCACAAAATATTATTTTAGCCTAAGGAAACAGTTATGGTACACAGTGTCACATACTGTCATATGTGATACTGAGTTCACTTACTGTCCATTAAAACAGGAGTCATGAGGGTTAAATAAAATAAGCTATGTCTCCAAATCTTCAACTTGATCAAAGTTCTTCCAGAGTTCCTGTTCATTATTGACTGAATTTAAGCATTTTCCTTTCAAATAAACAGCCTGATAAAATCATTCAAGGAAACTTAGAGACACTTTGTAAATAGCTACCCTACCCAAAAGAACAGAAAGTAAAATCTAAGACCTGTATACAAGCAATTTCTTAGTACAGCTATCTAAAGGTAAGAAACAGCCCCTCCCCCATGACAGACATACATCAATCTAAGATTATGATTGACACTAAATTTCACCTACTAACACTCATCTGCTTACTGCAAGAACAATTTATTCTAAGTTTTGAATTGCCACTGGATCCATTAATCCCTAAACTTTGTGATTTTTTTCACTACTTAACCCTCCTGAAAAAGGTTACATTCTGGGTCATTTTAAAGAGCAGAATACTTTGAAAAAAAAAAAAAAGTTTGTGTTTTAATCATGATATTCCAGTCAAAGAGGAATGATCTCATTAGTTTGCATCTGATTGAAAAGGGGGATAAGGAAACAGGATCTAAAAAAATATGTGTTTCTCTATTAAGGAATTTTTGGCACAATGACTTTTAGGTCCATCCCCTGGGGAGGTGGTTGCTTCACATTTGGGAAGCTGTGTATAACCTTATGGAGATGCAGCACTGCCCAGTGAAGGCTGAGCCATCCTGCCAAAGAGGAAAGAGTGAACTAACCAAGACCAGCCAGGAACACACGTGACAGAGTTGATGAGAAATGCCTGTGTACGTCTTTCCTGGTTCAAGGAAAAGGGCTCAATAATGCAGCCAGACTAATTAGAACACACAAACAATATCAAACATCTCTAATGTTTCTCATCAAGTTTACAGTTTTACTGGTCTGGGGAAGTTACAATCAAAGCCAAAATGGTCCAGGAGAATAACTTGTTCTATAAAACCTACTTAGCTGATATTTAGAGTAGTTTCTGGAACATTTTTATTAAAAAAAAAAAAAAACTATGGGTAATTTAGAGGAAACTTCCTTCTTCCCAAGAGATGGAGCAAAACATTTGAAATTATGATTACCTTAACAATTAGGCTTTGAATTTAAGGAAATTTACCAAATTAGAATAAAAAGCTATTCTTGGATTAGTGATTAACTGGTAATCTTTCAAAAGGGTTTCATGTCTAAAAACCATTAGATTGTGCAGAAGACATGACCTGTTCTGAATAGCTGCAAATTATATACTGTGACATTTATCCCCCAAAACTCAACTTAAAAAACACACTGCAGAACAAAAGAACACTCTAAGGCAACATAAAAGACTGAGAACAAGGCACAAAGAGCCCATAAAACAGATAAATCATAAAGTTACCTCTATGTCCTGAATAATCTTTGGGTATAATGACCTATAAAATGAATTGGGAGGGCCATCTGTGGGTCTGTTTTTAAACAGGTATTGATCCCTGGCAAATAAAAACAAACAGATGTTACATTTTTGCACTTTTAGGGTAAGTTTTATTTAAACACGATGCTTACAAAGATATCGTATCTCTTATTTTCTTAACTTCCACTGAGTTTTAATAGTTCAAAAGCAAAATTTCTAACAATAAAATTTTCTTGTCAGAGATAAGTTTAGTTTAATTTACAGCTATCTGACACGAGGCTGGCCTTTTGGTTTCTAAGTGCTAACACATAATAATGTAGCCTTTCATTCTAGAGAGTTTATTTAATAGAAGTGCTAATATAGCTCTGTGAAAAATCTTACTCCACATCAAACTTCCACCCATAAATAAAATACAGCCCAGCCAGGCATGGTGCCACATGCCTATTAATCCCATTGCTCTGGGAGGCTGAGGCAGGAGGACCCCGAGTTTGAACCTAGCCTAGGAAACTTAGTGACTCAGCAAGACCTATCATAAATAAAAATAAAGAGACTAGGGATAAAGCTTAGTGTGAAGACTCAATCAAGGAAAAGGAGGGGGAAGAAGGGAAGAGAGGGAGCATCAGAGGGAAGGAGAGAGTGAGAGAAGGGAGGGAGAGGAGACAAGAACAAGGGGGGAGAAGAGGAAGAAGGAAGGGAAGGGAGGGGAAGGAGGAAACAGAGCCCTAACTTTCGCTCTCATCATCCCTGTGCTTCTTCTCATAGCTCTCTAAGCTAAATGGACCAGGCCACTGTCATGCATAGAGCTATAAAGCTGCATTTAAGCACATGGGCTTTCTCTGAAAAATCCTGTCATCGTGCCCCCTATATCCTCAACCAGGAGTAATAACAAAAAACAAAACAGCATTCCTTGACGACTCAAAATTTTTTTTTTTTTGGTCTAAGATATCTTTTGAATATGATATCATCGTCTAAGGAAAAAGCACAAATTTATAGCTTTGAAAAGCCAAATCACCCACTCAAACTAAACAAAACTCTGTAACATTTAATAAATATACAGGAAATGTCATGTTTCAAAAGAACTAACAGCTTTAACTCCCGCCCTCAACTCCTGACCTTGTTTAAAATAGGTAAACACAGTTGCAAGTATAATCACTTATAATTAAGCTGACTCTCTGTCAAAGACTTTTTTCAAAGGAAAAAGCAACCCAAGTACTTACCACCCTCTTCTTTCTGAAAGTCCTTTCCACAGAGGATCAGTGCGTACCATCCGTTCAATCAGCTTCTTCCAAAGCATTCCTTCGGAGATCACTCGCTGCCATTCTTTGCACACCAGCTCTGCTGCACACAGAGATCTAGCATCCAGGTAGGAAAGGATGTTTTCTGCTATGTGATCTAAACCTTGCTCTACAAAACATAAAAGGGAATGAAGGAATGGACAGGGGGTTGAAATGTGCAACCATTATTTTCTTAAAGAATAGTAAATTCTGAACCAGCTAAAATATTTCAGTAACATCAAAAGGCCTACCAATATACAAATGCACAAGTACTGTATGCAGACTTATTCACTTCATTTTTATTTTTTTAATTAATTAATTTTCGGGGGGTAGTACCAGGGGTCAAACTCAGGACCTTGAGCTTGCAAGGCAGGCATGGTGCCACTGAGCTACACCCCTAGCCCTTTGATTTTTTATTATAAGACAAGTGATAGTAACTATTCTCTGTTTAAAAGCTGACCCTGGAAAACTCTGTATTTGTCATATTATAGTATAAGATTTATATTCATTTTCTTTTATGTAATTCTTACAAAACCTCCATAGGATAATGTCTCCCCCAGTTTTACAGATGAAGTATGGAGAGGCCTTACTCAGTGGTGAAGTAAGACTAGCACTCAGATTTCCTGCTACAAAATTTGCGCTCATTCTCATTTACTGTCACAACAAACCATATCCACCAGGACATGCCCTCTGTGACTCCCTATGAGCTAAGAAAATAAAAAAGGTGAAAATGACCCAACTTTTAAAATGTACGAAAAATTAAACATAAGCCAAATGTTAAAATTGGTTGTGTTCAGGTGTCTTTTTGTCCATCTTTTTATCTTCTTGTGCACATCTACTTTATGTTTCTGAACAGATGATAGGACCCTTGAAAAGCAACCCACATGTTTACAAGCTTTGGAACACTGGAAATTACTGGATTCAACAGCCCAAATAATTCAAGGGTCCTCACATAGATAATCATTCAAGATTCAGCATCTTCCTGACATTTACATACAAAAAAGGTAACTACTGGCAGCACTGTGCTACCTGTCAACTCCCTTCCAGTAGTTCTAGGAGTGTCCAATGTAATTATACAAAATGAAGCTCCTCTGCAAGTCTGTTCTGCTTAGAGATGAAAACACAGAACATGTAGTCATAAAATCCCAATTTTATGCCTCAGTTTCACTACCTACTAGTTCTTACTATCTCTATAACATAAAACAAATACCAGAATGTCCCTTTGCCTTGATTTTCTACCATACAAAATGGGAATCACCAGTAACAACTGTCCGTTCTCACATTACTAAGAATCAGACAGACTCATGAAAAGATTTTAAAGATAATAAAACACTATACTAGGTTAATGTTTGTTCTTTTTCAAAACAAAGAGAAGAGATACAGTAATATTAAGCTTAGTGTTAAAGAACAACATGTAAGTAAAGCATTAAGCTTTCTTCATCTGTATAAAATGGGGCGATAATTTCTTATTTTGAAAATATCAAAATGAAATGATGTATACAAATGCTTTACAGCCAAGCACACACCTGTCAAGCGATGTACTCAAGAAGCTGAGAATGGAGGATCCTAAGTTTAAGGCTAGCCGGGGCAACTTAAGCCAGACCCTTCCCCAAAATATAGATAGATAGGCAGGCAGGCCAGGTATGGCTCAGTGGCACAGTATTTGTTAAGCATATGAGACCCTGGGATTTATTCCCAGCACTGAAAAAACAAACAAACTTTACAAACAAAGGTTTTCTTCAACTCTCAGAAGAACTGTGGTTACACTATTGATTTGTGGTACCCAGATCTTTCATGTACAACCTCTCCTACTCTGGATTACACCTAATACCTGACAGGACCAGTATCTTTTCTTATACTCATTACTATACTACAGCTAATACAGTCCAAGACTGAACTGCCTTTGCCTAATAGTCACGGTAGACTTCTAGAGTTCAAAGAGTTAATCCAAAGCCTTTCCCTCAAAAACATCTAGTAAGGGGTAGGGTTCAGCTCAGTGGTGCCACAGCCTGCTTCACAAGCACAGGGTCCTGAGTTCGATCCCTGGTACCCACGCCCAAAAAACCCTATTAAAACAATTTCCTCCAAAAGTGTGCAGCCAGTTGGAAAGGCAGAAGGCAGCTTCACACAAGAGTTTATATTTATCCTTACTACAGTTTACCTTCAAACCTCTAACTGACCTATTCATTTCAGCCTCTAGAATTCTGATTTTCATCATACACCAGATCTACAGATGGGCAAACGTCAAGTCTTTATTCCAAGTTGTAGACCAACATGTTAAATGGATCAGAACCAAGGACAGCACCCATCGTGCTAGCTATTTCCCTCCAGGCTATCACTGATGCATTCATTAAAGACACCAATACCCAGCCACCAAGCTCAGTAACCTTCTGGATTTTACTGTTCAGCTCATATCTCTCTATGCAGACCTCAAGAACATCTGGGAAAACTGTCCCATGAAAATACTATCTTATATCATTCACTCTTCTTTTGACCTATGCTACTATTTCTTTCTATTCTGCTAAACTTATCCAAAAGTGAAATGTGGATATGGTACAGTAATCTTCTGTGTTCCCTTGCTGATGCTTCTACATTTACAATCTTTCATTTACATGGTAGCACCAGCTGCTTTTGTGTCCCTTTTTAATATATAAAATCCATGTTCATTAGAGAAAAATTGATAACATGCATATAAGCAAAACAAACAGAAAAGGTAGCCCTAACTAGACCCTATCTCCAAGAGATAAAAACTTTATACAACATCTTGTTTATAATCTTCTAGGTTTATATAACCCTACATGATCTTTTCAGACACTGATTAACCTTTGAAATTAAAATTCTGTTAGAATAAAAGGTCATATTTAATAATACCCCCCAAATATACCTTTCCAGTTGTACAAGCTGTATAGCATACACCTGTGCTCAATAGCTCTGCACATGGTTTTCAATTCCCAATGATCAAAAATTTTGAAAATCACAACCACAGGACTTATTCTCCTAGCAAACAATGTATTTAGGCCTATTTATTTGCAAGATTTCTAAACATCTTTTGACTATAACTTTCCTACACTTTCTTGTTTTAAGGTCATCATACTTAGTGAAGAAAGAAAAAAAGTCAAGTGAAAGCTATGTTAAATCAAAATACTATACACTGTTTCCTTCTATTGTCACTATAGCATCTATTCCAAGCATTATTATCCTTTCATTCTTTGCAATTTTTCTCCAAATAATTGACTATTTTTGTCTTCAACTCTTTTGGATTAATTAAACATTTTGGCCAATTTTACATTATTTAGGATTTGAGCATGATACCTGCTCAAAGGCACAGTTCACCTTTCAGTGAATTTCCATGATCTTGTGCCCTTTCTTCTTCTATGCTTAATTAAAATCCATGGATTACCACATATGCCACTCCTCCACTCTGGTTGACAAAATAATTATATCAGAATTTCAAGTTTCAGACTATCTCAGCTCTGTTTAACCATATTTTATCTTATAGTCTCTACACAGGATAGTAGACTTAGATTTTCTTTGGATTTTTCTAATTCTGGGATAGGTGACTGACTTCCTTTTGAAGCTTCTATTCATGATATTAAAACATAGTCACTTTTTTAAAGTTTATACTTCCACACCACTAGCAGATCTTCCTAATTGGTTATAAACACACCCCTAACCGGTCCCCTCTTTAATCTGCTGCTCTGAGAGATGAAACAAACAGAAAAACAAGAATGCATCAGACGGCTGCTTTTTCAGACCTCAGAGGCTGCAACAACCCTATCATCTATCTGTATGTGAACTGGGAAAGCAACATCCAGTCCCTCCACCTGACTGGATTCTCACAGTGTGGAGCATAAACAGGAAAAGCCAGTGTAACTGTAACTGAAATCATTTGGAGCTACTGATCTTCAAATTAACAGCAACAAAACAGATCCTCCAGACCTTCTGAATCACAATCCTCAGACGATGAGGCCTAGGAATCTGCACTCTTAGGAAGTGCCACCAGCTAATTCTGACATGTTAGGAACTGTTGATTTACAGCATCCCTTCAAGTCCTTTTAGATCTCTCTTCCCTGTCCCCCAAGTGCTCACAACTAAACTATCTTTTTGCAAAAGTAAATCCCTTACTAATATATATTTCCTCTTGTTTCAAATGCCGTCAGGCCAATTAAACTTCTCAGTGATATCTACAGGTTAGATGTGTTTCTTTGGCTACTACTTTCTACTCACTTCACCACCTATGGATTCAGACAGAAATGAGACAAAAAGTCCACAAAGCCACAAAGGTCACAAAGCCCAACATCTTTTTTCATAAAATATCCAGGAAACAACAAAGTGGAACATACACCTGGAAGTCAGAACAAACCAATCTGGAAATTGATGGTTGAATAATTAAAACTTCCTAGCAATAACTCTTAATACCTGTGGAGAAGCAGGTGTTTCTGACTGTCTGGGCTTTTAAAAACTTTTTAAAAGTTGCATCCTCAGAGCACCCACTAGATACAAGGCAATATGATATATACTGTTTTTAATGCCAATAGTATCCCATGAAATATTATTATTGCATACAGACAAAGAAACTGAGGCTCCAAAAAGTGAAGCAACATAGCTATAAAATGCAGGGTCCTGGACTCGAATATGAGGCTAACTAAATCCAACACTCGTGCCCTCCACTCTGCTTTGTTGGGTCTTTGGCCTTGTATCCAGCCTACAGCACTTCAAAATTCTTAACTGCTTAGACATCTCACCAAATCCATCACCTACGAATATCAGCCTTTTTGAAGCACAACCTGCCTCTATTTTAAAAGGTATGTTTTCCCTTTAACAACAGTTCTTACAAACCACAAACTTAGCCTGCAGAAATTGACATTGCAGACTAAACATTACTATGATTTTTAGAAAAGCGTATCATAATTATCACTTTTTCCACTGAACCAAAAGGAGCCAGAGACCACAAACATTTTCCATTTTTCCTATACTCACAGGTACAATGTTCACAGTAAGCATTAAAGTGCTAAAACTACAGACAATTTTTATAGAACTAATGGTTTTCACAATCAAAAGGAGTTCAAGTTCTGTCAATTTTAGTACAGTAAAAGTTCAAACTCAAGAACACCTACAGAAAATATTAAA